AAAATGAGAATAATGGCTTAATGCCACATGCATTCATCGTACACAGCTTACAACATTCAAGAACTTGCTCTGGAACTGTACGATGCATGTTCTTATGGCAAAGTATAAACAATTAATAATTAAATGAAATAAATAATGAAATAGGACTAAACTCCTAGTTGAAGGTGTATTTGTATTTTTCCACAAGTTTAATTTAATTTAATGTAAATAATAACAGTATAATTAAAGTTTTACATTAAAAAAATGATTATTAAGGTTTATAACTAATTGAAAAGTAATTGTAGACCATTTTGATAGTTCGAAATTTTCCATTTTAATTACTCATTAGGTGGAAATAAAACATAAATACAATTAAGAGCAGCATACTTTTAGGGTGACATCATCGGTTTTGTTATCGCTTATAATTAAAAGCAGTTTTAACCCAAAATTATAAAAAAATAACCAATTCAGAGTTTGATTCCGATGTTTCTATTAAAGCTCTTAAAAATACTAAAATAATGAGTGGACACATTTTCTTGATCTACACAAAAATACAAACTTTTTGTTTGTAAATCCAGAAAGAGTTTTAAAATGGAAATGTATTCTTTATCCCCCCCAATAAGGCCCAGCTAAATTGTCTAATTAAAATGCAATTAAACATTTGGAAAGTAAATATTGTTGTTGAAGAGCAGGAAGTTAAAAGCAACTTCGGCTTAACAAACATTTATTTGCTCACATTTGACAGTGTTAGTCCAATAACTGAAATAATGGTATTAGGTCTTTTTGTAAGGTCTAATAACGTCTCTGGCTACCCTCTGCTGTGAGTCGGGGTATAGCTAGCCGTTTGGCAAATAAAATTCCCCCACCAAGTCGGATTCGCTTTTAGATATTTTTGTAATTTCTATACGCTTTTTATTCTTCAGTTTTAATTTATTGTCATGACGGTTTTCTTCAGTTTTTTACATCGACAGCTCTGTTTGTCGTTGAAATAAGTAAATAAAATAAATAAAAATAAAATAAAGTATTTTAGAATTTCAATTTGCCCCTCAAAATATTTATTCATGCCAAAATTCGTAATTATAGAGGATGCAGTCGAAAAAATTCGTAACTGGATCATAAACAGCCACAGTTTTCAGTGGAAGTCATGAAAAGAGTATTATACTATATACATACTATATACTGTATCTGCAAGTAAATGTTTCCTTGAATCTTTATCGATTCATTAAAGGCCGAGATATAGAATTCTAGTCTTAACATAGTCCTTTCTATTTCCTAATAAGTTTCAAGTTTCGAATATGAGTTCCACACTTCTTGAGATAAAGACATATGTATATAAAAATAAAAAAATAACTTAAATTTAATGAGATTTCTGATAAATTCTGATAAATTTTAATCAGCCTAACATTTCGGCTGATCCTCATTTGGCGGAGTTTTGAATTTATGCAAATTTCACTTGTTTTCGGCCTCATTTGGGCCATAATCACATCGCCTGGTCAACAATGTTCAGAACGATGTTGCTGTTGGCATTATTATTGTTGTTGTTGTTGTTGCTGCTGCTGCTGTCGACATTCACGTCTGCATGGCTCCCAAGCCGTTTGTCTCTCCTGAAATGTCTCCGCTGTCGCTTTGCTGTACGTTGTCAGCGACCGCGGCAGCATCCGTCAACTGAGATAACAATTTTTTAAATTGAAATTGAATGAAGTGGCTTGCTTACAATATAATTTATACGAGAATGCAAATAAATTACGCCGTACTCCGATCACGCTGACCATTGCCGAACCGTCAGCCTTTCCCTTTTACTTGCCTACTGGTTCCTCCTTGACATTGTCTGTCGTCGTTGTCTTCCCTTCCAGTTCCCTTATTCATATGTGTGTGTGTGTGTGTGTGTGTGTTTGGATTCACATTGAAATTTGTGAGAAATCTTTTGTACAGTGCTGCGAGTATATCGTTTGCATCTCATTGGATGCCGCCATTTTGCCATTTGCTCTGAGGCCATTGTTTGCATTCTTACAGCGATTGTATGATGCATAATTTAGCTAATGAAGCCTATGGGAACACGGCGTATAAGTCCAAGGATTCTCAAGGACATAAACCAGATGAGCAGTGCCAGTGCATTGAGAGCTGACATTAACTGCTGCCCGAATTGAACTGCATTGAACTTGATACTCACAGACAAATTCCTGACTTCCACTTTCGTGAATTACTTTCAGTAATAATGGTAATTTAGATTTCTGATTAGTGGCTAATGATTTTGCCTGATGATTGCTGTAACATGTGATTGTGATTAGTAAAACGGACAATCACAAAAAGGCAATTTGAAAGATAGTGTAATTGCTTCACCCTTTTTTCTGAATTCAAATAAAATGTTTACTTTTTACCAATCAGACACTTAATTAGCAATCGTTATACAATAACAACAAATTGATAATAGACATTTAGAAATGTGAAAATTGTTTTAAGAGATACGATACGAAAATTCTATAACGACTGAGTTTTTTATGAATGCGGTAAGTAGCTATCAAGATGAATTAACTCAGCCATCTAGAAATCCCTTTATTTTTTTTGCAACTAGTAGCTTCTAAGAAGTTGACTAAAAGGTTAAGTGTTTATTGAATACAGTTTCCAGACCGGCAACACATAGGAACTGAGAAGTTTAGAAATAATATTTTTCTTGAAATTTAATTACAAATTCTTCCTGAAAATGTTAAGAGGGCGAGGATATACTGGCCTAGTTCTATATGTTTTTTTTTTTGTTTCAATTTAGTAGAAAATTTTTGTAAAGAAAACTGTTTTATTCTTAAAGGTATAGGGTTCGTAATTGATTGGAGCTTATAGTTAATTTTTTATTTAGCATAAATTTCTATTTTCAAATATCCTCTTTAATCTACACAATCGAAAGGGAGTTAAATACTTTATTTCCAAATCAATGATACATCGATTTTAATTGAACAATAAAGTCTGCAAAGCTGTGTTCTGATATTTTTGTACATTTTAATTAAAGAGTAGAAGAAATAATTAATAATTATGATCATTTAAATGTTGTGCAGTTGCATAAGTTGACGAAATAACTTTGCCAAATTGTACAGATTTTTATTCTAGAAATTACTTGACTTGATTTATCCCTATCATACTATATACATAAATATAGGGATATATATACATATGGATGTATATTCTTTTCTCATCGGTCGAAACCTGTTTTGAATTTGTGATAAAAATGGAATTTGGAATTCTATAAAAAACGCTCAGATATTTGCGCCTAATAGAGTTGGTGTAATTTTTTAAGCAAACTTAAGTTGTTTTCTAATAGCACTAATTTTGGAAAGCTAATTGATTTTACATTGTATCTAAAGATGATATGAATGGTGCTTTTATAGCATAAAGCACGGATTGAAACTTGATAGCGGTATACGTTTATTTTAACAGAACAAATTGCACAATAAATTATTTCAACGTATTCAATAATTATTTTTTAGAGTGTGGTTCAATTGGAGGAGACCCTTTTTATACCCTGTACCCGTAGGGTAAAAAGGGTATATTAGGTTTGTGCAAAGTATGTAACATACAGAAGGAAGCATCTCCGACCCCATAAAGTATATATATTCTTGATCAGCATGACGAGAGAAATCGATCTAGACATGTCCGTCCGTCTGTCCGTCCGTCTGTCCGTCTGTCCGTCTGGATGAACGCGAGGATCTCAGAAACTATAAAAGCTAGAATAACCAAAGTTGGCATCCAGATTCTCCTAGGTCCGAGTAAGGACGAGTTTATTTAATTTTTTGGAATTTTTCCCCCCTTCCCCCGCTACAGAATTTCGTCAATACCGTCCACATTTCAAATGCTACCTAAACCAAACTTTGCACACATAATTAATATATAATTGTCTACTGTTGTATAAAATTTTATTCAATTCGGTCAATTCTAAGAAAAGTTATTAGCAAAACAAATTCTCGCCAGTACAACCTCCCCAAACTGCAGCAACAAGTTCGCTCTTCTTCTTCCTCTTTTTGCTGCTGCTATGGGCGCATATAACTCAGTGACGGAAGTTTACATGGGTACAGGGTATTACACTGTCGGGCTTGCTCGACTGTAGCGTTCTCTCTTGTTTTTTGCAACATTTATGCTATTTTAGCGTTTATTGTACACATTCCATCTTGCATGGAATTAGGATACCTAAAACCAGTTAAATTTTCGACTCAAGTATTGAAATTATAGTTACAAAACAAATCATTGTATGGCGTTGCTATTTCCGCTGATTCATCAACACTCATTAGGTAGCAGTACTACGAGTCTGTAGTTGCCAGATTGAATGCACAATCGAGGCTTGTGATGATCACAATTACCGCTAGCTGAGAACAAAGGCGTCTTAGAAAGCGGCAACTGTTTTGTGTGGAGAAGCACTCCCATTGACAAGATCATAAGGCACACGCCGGCATACAACAAGCGAACATGTAATACAATGCCCGAGCCAGGCATATAGATATCAAAGTTGAATTTCGGACTGCCGCCCAAAGTGCACAAAGCTGTGACAAACGGCGGGCCCAGAACAAGCCCACAACACTCTTACTTGGCTTAGAAATTTGATCCGTGCAGTGGAACTGGACCGTTGCTACTCCACTCCCGAGTAGCATTAGACATTAGAAGGCCTCGAGTGCTGCTGCTGCTGCTGCTGGGCATGGCGTGTCTAATAATGCGCCGGCTAATAGCTTTGGACTTTGCGAACAGCACTTGGCTGCAATTTTAATTAGACTTCGACTTTTTGCCTAGCGGTTTGCGTGTGGGCCGCAGCCGTCGTTACTCGCAGCCACCATCGGGCAACCGCAAACTCGTTGACAGTTGTTGTGGTTGATGTGGTTGCTGTGGCTCATGTGGTTGCTGTGGCTATAAACCGATTTTGCTTGCGTGAAAGCTGAGCCACGCTCAGTTGCTCTTACTGGACATTTTAGTGTCAACTTAATGGCTTTTGGCAACGCTACTTGGTTTTTAGGTTTACGGCCTGGGAAAGCTGCACACTCACTCACCTTTCTTGAGCAGATTGGAGGCATGCGGATTGCGACTCTTTGTGCTGAGCGACGAGCAATTCCAGCGATGCCATTGAAACTGCAAAGAATAGGAATAAGCCTCTCACCATCTTCCAGATGACAGTCGTCCCTCACCTGTATCTGGCACTCGCGTATGGCCATGTCCAGACCCTCCAAGGCGGCGGCAGTCACATCACTGGCTTTGTAGCACAACTCCAGCTGATCTTTGGTCAGACCAGGCACCGAACGACAAGTGGCGCGTCCATCAGGCAATCCATAGAGCCTGAAACAGGGGAGAGATCATATTAAATGCAATACATTTTTTGTAGAGAATGGAAATTGGAAACTGGCATGCGAAAATTGAAAAGTTGAATGAACGTTCATTGTGGAAACGTGGCGATTTATTTCTTAACTTAGTGTCTTTTTAGCCCGATACGACTTATTTAACGCGTCGGAAAAATACGTTTTCTGGAGCTCTGTAAGTTACGGCGATAGCCCCCTCATTCGACATTCCGGCACGTGACTTTTTCAACAACAACTTTGAAAACAAAAGGAAGTCTAGCTCAAGATCTAGGTGATTAAGCAAACGGCGTTACAGAAAAACTCTTACAGGGGGGAGTGGGGCGGTGCTTCAAAAAAATAAAATATGCTTTGGTGTCTCTAGCTTTTATAGTCTCTGAAATCTAGACAGATAGACAAGATTACTCGATCAAGAATTTATATACTGTACCTTCCAGATACAGCGTATAAAAAGACGAATTCAGTTTGTTTTGAATTGATTCTTAGTCCAAAAAAAAATCCCTAGAACTGTTTTATTTATTTGTCTTATATTATATTATTTTTTATTATTATGAATCGGCCTGCGGATTTAGGCCATAACATAATATTTTGTAACGTTGCTCTGGCCCGGGTATACTCGTCGGCCAGAGTCGCTGCAAAATTCTTGGTTTGGTCCCCCAGAAATAAAGCGAGCCCGCAGTTACCACTCAAATAGGATGATTTATCTTTTATTTCAAAAATCTCAACATAGGAGGATGCGCTTCAATGCGCGTTCGTTTCCCTCCCCAACAGAACTAACTCCAAAAAATCTCTTCAACTTCCAACTACTTACACCTACTTAAAAACTACTCATCGCATTGATATACGGGACAAAAACTTTACATAGTTTCTGAAACCTATTTTCTAGCTGTAAATTGGCAAAAGGAAAACAATTGCAATATGAATTTATTAAATAAGTTAAGCAAGTTGGTAACAAGTTGGAGTTTTTGTTCAGAATTGAAATTGTTCTGCTGGAAGACCGGATTGTTTATGCCAATAAAAAACACTACAACATTTTTAAACTAATGTATGGAATAGTTATATTTAGTTAAATTATTTTTTTTTACATATTGATCAAAAGTTATTCCTGAAGCTCATGAATCTCTGAAACACCGGATCACGCCGAGTAAAGTCCGTGGTGTCCACATAGTTCTGCAGAGCCTCAAAGAAGTTGTCTTCGAGCGTCACAGCTTCCGGACTGATCTTGGACTTCATTATATGGGAGCCCTCGACAAATTTCTCGTAGAACTCATCTTCCTCCTCTGCGAAGCTCTGCGCCACGCCCAACAGACCCAACCTGCTCATGCCAATGGTTTGAGATTCGGTCTCTCGGCGGTCCAATATCGAGCGCAATCTGTCGAAAAGGTCCTGCAGTTCATAGACATATTCCATTTTTTGTCGCGTAGTGCCCTTCTCTAGTATGGGATTGGCGCGATCGATATAGGCCTGAAGAGCAGCAGTACTGGGTCCGCGGGCTGCCGCGGGCACATTTCTCACCACAGTCTCTACAAATTGCACATTAATGGCCATCATATTCTCAGCCTTTATGTTTAGCAAATGGTCCACGTATTCATAGAACTGAACAATGATTTCATCGTCGGATTGCGGAAAGGCGCTTAATTGGCTCTATATATAGAGTTAATAGCTGGATGTCATTAAATGAGTCTGAAGAGATCGGAACTTACCAGCGTAGCTAGAATTGTCAGCAGCAAGTAAAACATTTTCAAGAACTGAAGATTGTGGCACAGCTTTTTTGTTTTATATACCAAGTAGACATCATAGAGTACGACCAGCAAGGCATATTTATATTTGTAAAGATTGTGTAAGTGCAGATAGTAGATCGATAAGATATTGTTACATTTTGGAAATATAAGGGTATATTGGTTTGTGCAACACACAGAAGAATGCATCTGCGAACCTATAAGGTATATATATTCTTACTGAATATGAGTCATATGATTTTTTTCTTAGTTATTATATAATTACTAATGCCGACCTTAAAGAAATGTTTCAAAAGCTTTCCATCTAGGCCAGGATTACTGAAATGCCACCTGTAAGAATATGACTTGTATCTGTGCTGATCAAGCTAGCTTTAAAATAACTGTTGATCAGAATATTTAGTTTTGATTTAACAAATGCTGAGCTTTTGTCCACATCTTTAAAACAATTTCAAAGGTTTCATTTATGTCAATCCGTGTTTTGTTTCATTCTGTAAGTCATAACTCTCTCTCTCTCTCTTTCTCTCTCTGTTCTATCAAAATTATTCTTTATAATTATCTTCGGGGAAATCTCTGGCCACATACTGCTGCGAGTTGGGGCATAGCTTGCCGGACTGGCATTTTAAAATTCCCCCTCCGGGTTGGAGATTTCCCTCTTTTTCTTTTCGTCTCTCTCTTTCCACCTTTCTCTTTTTCTGCTTCTCTATTTCTCTATCTCTCTTTTCTTCTTTCTTTTTCTCTTTTTTTCTCTTTCTCGTTCTACTTCGTACTTTTTCTAAGTAGTTGTTAAATAGAATTAATTTTTCACCTTTATCTACTTTTTGTATAGTTTTTTGGGTCTTTAATGTCTCTGACCACATATGGCTGTGAATCGGGGCATAGCTGGCCAACTGACAAATAAAATTCCCCCATTCATTGTACAGCTTTGTGTTAGGCTTTCTTATCTTTTAAGTTTAGTTTAAATTGTTATATTAAGTTTTATAATGTAATCGACAGTATTATTGCTGATATTCTGAATAAAAATAAAAATAAAATAACGAAAAACCTTGAACTCTTAGATAAAAGTACATAGATCTGTATACACATGTAATCAAAATTAATTTATTTGCTGACCCATGCTGCAATTCGCTGATATATTTTGTCGCCTGGTATTTCAAATGTTTGCTAAACGAAATTTGATTGCTGGCCGTAGACGGTCGAGACCACAGCAAGCAATTAAATTGAGTCAGCACGAAAAAAATCCATTAGCCTTGGACGGCAAAAACCGCAAGCGGAGCAAAAAGCAGAAAAAATTGCTTAGCAACTAATTTAATTTAATTTATTTGTGTGAAATTTAATTTACCTTTTCGCAGATCTAATCAAATAAGCAGTCAGTCGGACAAATTTTCGACTACTGTGGCACAGCCAAATGAACTTTTTGTGGTTATAAATCTGAGTGGGGTGAGTCTTGAGTCTGAGTCAGTCAGATTAGAAGTGGCCAAAAACGAGAGGAGCAGCTAAGAGATTGCCCCGCTTACTTGCCTGTTTTCTGCAAGAGCTCGATTTGAACTCATTTAGAGCGCGCCATGGCATTCAAGGTCAGGCGAGGTGTTGATCTTGCGCCACAGATAGGCTGCCGACTGCCTGCCAGAGACGAAGACGGCTGGCTCTGGCGATGGATCTGATGATGGGACGTGTGGAAACGACGCCGTTCATGGCACACATTTTGAGTGGTGGTGTCAGTTGACGTTCAACAACTTCATCAAGTTGGCTCGTAGACGACTGCCAACCTCAACATCGTTGCCACATCGTACGATATCGCCGCTTAGCGCGTACGATCTACAACACGCAGCACGCTGCTGCTGTCGTCTTCTCTTTCTTCATCATCAACTTAATCATCCACATCCACATCATCATCATCTTCATGTTCATGTTCATCTTCAACCATGCTTCGCTTCCATGCACAACATGGCGTATACGTGTCGCGATCTCAAGTGGCGCTCTTTTGTAAATATGTACATTTTGACTTTGTTCATCTTAACCCTCTGCAGATGCCCAGCTCACTCACTACCACTCTCTGGGGTTAATTGTGGCACGTCGCATATAAAATACTCAAAAGTTGAAACGTGCCATTTTCACACACGTTTCGTGCATTTGCATTTCAGCGCATCATTGGCATCATTTGTATGCCATTCACATCGCCGACAGCCACAGATAGTGCTGCCGGGGCATGCAAACGACTGCCGGCTCCAGTACTGGATACTGCAGATAATTATGATGATCCCTAAGCAGTTTCGTTATGCAGTCAGCAACCAGCAGCTGCTGCCTTTGTTGCCGCTCTCGATCCTGTTGGCGCACTCTTGGCGGCACTCAGAGAAGGTAATGGGGCGTGGGTTGTTGTCGGACAAGTGTAACATTATAGAGTCATGTATAAGCTCGCCGATTTGGGTTTGTTAACAACATTTAGACAAGCTCAATGCCTTTCTAAAAAATGGGGAATGCCCTTACAAAACTATAAGTACCAAAAACTTTTGTAATTCTGTAACTATCCTCCACATTCTTTAAGACGAGCTTACTTTTCTAAAATAGTTGCCACGAAGAAACCCAAAAATACATAATTCTATTACAATCTCGTAATGAACATGTACATTTTTGTTACTAAGAGTGCTGGTTGCTATTACAGCTATAAGATATAGTGCTTTGATTTTGATGAGACATCAAGAGTTTGGTGAGCTTCAATAATAACTTTCAGAACTTTTCCTACTTCGAGCGATTTTTTGAACGAGATATATCAAGAAATAGTTCCGCTAATTATGGCTTTTTATAAGACAAATACAGTTTTCCTAGCTGTTATGGCTTATAAGTTATTTATGTTTATCCAAACAGATTGACATGTCAAGTCCTTATTTATGATCAGCCTTCCTTACGTAAATTAAATCGGATAATCCTATTTCAAGTATTACTTTATGTTACTTAAAACAATTCTTACAAATAAATTTATGATCAGATTTGTTTTAAGTCTATAAAAACTGAGATAGACGAGCAAAAGACTGTAAGACAAAATCTATAACTAGAGGCAGAAAAATACATTATCTACACTTTAAAATCTATACATCTATCTATACATTATCTATCTTTAAAATGTTAAAGTATGCAAACAGTATTTGTTTAACTAAAGGTACAGTCAAAATACAAATACTTTGCGCACAAAATTCGTATTATTTTACAAGTAGGAATTCAAAACTGAATTTGAAGGAATTTCTAAATGAAACCTATATTTTAGTATATTTGTACAAATTGTTTAAGTTTTCGTAAACACAAGATATATAGGTATAATTTGACAAATTGATGTGCAAATAATTTAAAAAAATTTTAATTAAAATGTGGTTTTCTCAAATTTCAAAAAGAGTTATATTTATACATTTTTCAAACTTACGGCGAACCAAACTCATTCTTTGGGCAATATCTACCAAATCTACTGAATTACAAAATACAATTGGGAGCTTAAGATATATGTAACAAATATATATATAACAAATATACATTGTATTTGAAGTATGAGTTATGATAAATGTAAAAAAATAGAATCTTGTGTACCTTAATCCTGTAACACTGTATTGAAGTTCTTTTGAAAATTAACAAAAAATTTACTGTGTTAACAGATTAAATTCATTTTCACAGTTTCAAGAAAATATATTTGTAAATTTTACCAATTTCTAGCGCCAACACACTTAAAACTATGAAAGCTATCATTTCTTGTCAGAAAGTAACTTTCAAAATAGCATTTTAAGGGGGGATTTTTGACATTTTCTGAGTTTAAATAAATTGCAACATATTCATTTATTTATAGCTTACTTAGTTTTACAACAATTTCCTGTCATTTTAGATTATTCTATTCGTCCATGAATAAAATTTGAAAGCTTGCATTTCGTTGACTCATATAGTTGCCTCCTCAGAAAATAAAAGCCAACTACGTATAATTAACGTTGCGTGCTTGATTCGCATTAATCTTGGCTCTCGCTTTTGTCCAAAATATTTTGCTTATTTCATTAACAAAATGAAATATTTTTAAAATTTACTCAATTACACAACAGCTGGCTGCAGAGTATGGAAATGCGAGTCTCTGGTCTGCTGGCGGCGCGTCTATCGATTTGCCTAACAACCGCCACCGGCACCCTGTATGGTCGCGTCGCTTCAGATCAAAGGCATTCCTAGCTATGGCTATGGCTATGGCTATGGCTGCGGCTGTGGCCCCAGCCTGGCAAGCAGGAATGTCTCGAAAAGATTTGCCAACATAGTCAACCCATGAGCTGTTTGTGTGTTGTGTTGTGTTGGTTTGTGTGTGGGAAACATTGTGAAACATTTCTAGCTACAAATACATATTGAAACATGCTGGAATATTCAGTATAGAGCATGCATTGTATTGTATTGTGAGTTCGCAAATCCTTGATTTATGCGTGGGCTACTGTTTGACACACAGACAGATGGACAGACGGACAGACAGACAGGCGGGCAGGCGGGCAGCAGTTAAAGTCAGGACTGAGTGGCGACGATGGCGGCGCCTATTAAAGCTTCAATCTTTTTATGGCGTTTCAATAGAAAGAATACCCCGGTTTGCGACCTCACACTGGAGCGTGAGAAAACAGCCAACAATATTGTATATTCGCTGAAATTATTAAAATGAGAATTTTAAAATCTTTGTGCGCTTCAAGCTGGGCGCTTTAAATGGATGCGGTTAGTCCGGCGGCTTTTATCTTGCCAGAAAAGGGAGGCAACACTTTTGCGCCTGATAAGCGGCAGCCACTCGGAGCTGAAGTCGTTGTTGGCAACATTTTAAAGCCAGCAGATCGATAAATTTTATAAGCGATCAATTGCGCTGCTATCGCATCGCGTGAAATACGCACGATGTCGATGTCGATGTCTGTCTCAGTTGCCGTGCCGTTCTGGACCAGAGCCGGACACATGACTCAGCGGCAGCGGCAGCGTCTTCTGGTCTTCT